ATCCCCGTATCCCTATTGGCTGATATCCGCTCGAGGAATCTTAGTTTCTATTGGCTCGAAGGGGTCAGGCGTCACTGCAAGGGCGGAACAAAGAAGTGAAGCCTCTTCCAAGCAGAGACCAATAGCAAACAAGGATGAGGAAAGCGGACCCATTTCCCCGCCCTCTCCCCGCCTCCTGCTATGGGCAATTGCTCGTGCCTTAAGCACGCCCCGAAAGATAGCAATATGATTGGCGAAAAGATGGAGAGAGGCGGGCAGGAGCGGGGAGGAGGAGGGCTTTTATTCGCTGCCAAGCGAGAAAGCGGAAAGCTAGCTGAAGTTGGGAAGGAGGAAGCGGCTGTTGGGGTGAGTCAGTGGCAGCGGGGCAACGGGAGAGGGAGGGGGAAGCTAAGCAGCCCCTCTGGGGGGAAATGTGTGAAATCTTCCCTGTCTATAGAATTTAATCCCGGGTTGTATCACTGATGGGCAGACATAATAATTCTGTGTATTATAAGGAGCCAGAGATGCTAATAATACTATTTAGAATTCTCATTTAATATTTTTATATGTAAATTATAATTGTTATAATATTACTGTATGGAATGGAAGCCATAAATATGAAGGAGGTGAAAAAGAAGAATAACGTATCGGTGATTATTTAAAAAACATCTATGTTACGGTTTCCCCATAGGATCACCAAGTCCACACTGGTCACCAGTAGAGGGGGTAGCATTGCTAGCTCCAGGTTGGGAGATTCCTGGAGATTTGGAGATGGAGCCTGGGGAGGGCAGAGACCTCAGTGGGATGCAACGCCATAAAGTCAACCCTCGAAAGCACCCGTTTTCTCCAGGGGAACTGATCTCTGTAGTCCAGATATGAGTTGTAATTCCAGGGGATCCCCAGGTCCCATCTGGAGGCTGGCACCCCTATTTTCCCACCTAAGAGGGTACACAGCAGTGTTCCCTCTAAGCTGTGGAGTCTTGCGAGCAAAAATTCTACTTTGTGTGCTACTGGCATTAAAGTTGTGAGCGAGCAATTTGGCGGCTGCATACATAGTCTGCTCTGGAGCCATCCTTCCTGAGCAAAGGCAAAAATGTGTGAGCTGGCGGCTAAAAAACTGTGAGCTAGCTCACACTAACTCAGCTTAGAGGGAACACTGGTACACAGTACTCCATAAAAAATAGACCTATAAAAGTATTTAAGCTAAATTATTGGCTGCCCAGACTGTGGAAGATCAGAAGTGCTTTTTAACTTGTTCATTAATGATTTGGTGACGGAAGTAAGCAGTGAAGTGGCTGAGTTTGCAGATGACACTAAATTGTTCAGGGTGGTGAGAACCGGGGAGAATTGTGAGGTGCTCCAGAGGGAATTGTCGAGGCTGGCTGAGTGGGCGTCAGTTCAAAATGGGAAAGTGCAATGTAATGCATATTGAAGCTAAAAATCCTAACTATAAATGCATGTTGACTGGGTCCAAACTGGTAGAGGCTGACCAGGAGCAAGATCTTGCAGTCGTGTGGTAGATAACTCACTGAAAATGTTGACTCAGTGTGTGCCGGCAATAAAAAGGGCAAATGCTTTGCCGGGGATTATTAGGGAGGGAAAGGAAAACAAATCAGTAGAAACTGATGGTGCATGTGGCCGCATCTGAAATACTCTGTACAGTTCTGGTCACTGCACCTCAAAAAAGATATTGTGGTATTCGAAAAAGGGCAACTAAAATGACTAAGGGGGTGGAACACTTTAAGAACATAAGAGATGCCAATGTTGGATCAGGCCAAAGGCCCATCCAGTTCAACACTCTGTATCCCACAGTGGCCAGAAATACCAGTGCCATCAGGAGGTCCACTTTCCCGATGAAGAAAGGTTAAAGAGGTTAGGGCTTTTTAGCTTGGAGAAACGATGACTGAGGGGTGACATGATAGAGGTTTACAAAATTATGCATGGGATAGAGAAGGTAATAAAAGAAGTACTTTTCACACAATACAAGAACTCGTGGGCGCTCAATGAAATTAATGAGCAGTAGGTTTAGAACAGATAAAAGGAAGTACTTTGTCACCCAAAGAGTAATTAACACGTCAAATTCACTGCTGCAGGAAGTGGTTTGTGGCTACAAGCCTAGACAGCTTCAAGTGGGGATTGAAGAAACATTGGGAGCAGAAGTCCATCAGTGGCTGTTAGCCACAAGGTAAAGATAGGAACTTTCCGTCTGGGGCAGTGATGCTCTGTCTTCTTGGTGCTTGAGGGGCAACAGTGGGAGGGGGTGCAGAAGTCCATCAGTGGCTGTTAGCCACAAGGTAAAGATAGGAACTCTCAGTCTGGGGCAGTGATGCTCTGTCCTCTTGGTGCTTGGGGGGCAACAGTGGGAGGGGCTTCTGAAGTTCTGGCCCCACTGGCGAACCTCCTGATGGCACCTGGGACTGGACCCCTGTGTGACACAGAGTGTTGGACTGGATGGGCCATTGGCCTGATCCAACATGGCTTCTGTTTTGTTCTTATGTTCTTAACCACATATGCACTTCCATAAATTTCAACCAGTCCACAAAGATGTTCTAATTAACAAGAGCCAGTGTGGTGTAATGGTTCAATGTCTTGGACTGGGATCGGGGAAACTTGCGTTCAAATCTCCTATTTGCAGTGAAACTTAGTGGCGACCACGCGCCACGTCCAGCCACCCTCTCTCTCAGCTTACATCACAGAGTTGTTGTGAGGATAATACAGGGGAGGAGAGAATAATAAGTGGGTGTAAAACAAGGTTGTGTTGCGACGTCTTCTAATCATCAGGAATGTGATACTCGGAAGATAGTACAAGCATCCGAGTCTTTTCATTAGGCTCGCATTAGGAGAAGACAAGAGTCACTGGGAAAGACAATCACGCTAGGAAACGTTGAAAGCTGCAGGAAAAGGGGAAGACCCAACAGGAGATGGATAGACTCGAATTAAGCCATGGCCCTCAGTTTGCAAGACCTGAACTAGGCTGTTAACGAGAGGACATTTTGGAGGTCATTAATTGATAGCATCGCCATAGGCCAAACCGAGGCTCCTCTCATGATTTATGGAGGCAATTATTGTTGCGTAAAGCTGGCAGCCTTCTCCTCAGGCAAAGGTCTTTCAGGCCATCTACTCTCTAATTCCTTTTAACTAGGGAGGCTGGGGATTAAACCTGGGACGGTCTGCATGCCAAGCCGATGCTCCAAGAGCGGTATATCAAGTCGAAGGATAAATAAATAAATAAATAAAGAGGGAACCACACACCCCAGCCCAAAAAGGGGAAGGAGGAGGAAGAGAGAAAAGATGTGATCGTGATAGAGGAGTCTGCCTGCACTTTAAGAGGGAGACGGGGGTGCTGCAGACCTAACTGGATTATGTAATGATGGGTGCCAATTAAGATCTCTTGTCTGCACCAGAGCCTCCTGAGAAGAGATGAAGCGGCAAATAAGGAGCTTATCCCTTTGAGATATAAACAGCAGTAGTTCATCTGAGGCCTCCCCAGACCAAGCTGGAATGCCCGTGTGGCGGAACAAGGCCTGCTCCGGCCTGCAGGCCCTATTTCACCCTGCCTTCCAAGGTTCCCCCAACACCTGGAGAGGCCTTACTCTCTCTCCAGTAAACCATCGCCAACACCTGACCTTTGTAAGGAACTGCCCACTGGGAGGGTCAGGGCTTTCAGCTTTCTTTCCGAGTTCTGAGGCCTTGCCTCTGTGTCTCCTGCTGCCCAGTGCCTGGTCACCATGGGGACCGTTTACTGCCTTGCGTGCCCTTGGAGGAATAGCCCCTTGCCAATGGCCTTCCTTCCTCCAGCACGCCTATAAAAATAGTGTGTCCAATACGGGGGAGGTCTGTGTGGTTCAGAGAACCACTACCAGCATCAAATGTTATATTTATTTAAAATAAAATGTTCTCAAGTATACTTTTAGCACAGCACCAGCCTGAGCAAGGGATTCAAAAGAAATGGGCAAAACACAATCCTCTGTCCCTCTCTCTATACATGCCCTATCCAATGTTGAAATTGGATCCTACAGTTTAGTAAGTTACAAATCTCTACTGGGTTTCCAGTACCTTGAAGCTTTCTGTTCTCGACCTATTGGCATTTGTCTGAAGGTGGGCTGAGGTAAGTCGGGAAAGCCATGGACTGACTTCCTCCTCCCTGCCTGTTCTCTGCCCGGGGGGGGGGACTTTTAAAACTCAGAGTGAAGGTTTTACTCATTTCAAACCTCCGAAGGAAAAAGGCCTTTCTTCACATTAAGGAAGTTTCCAAAGGAGAGGGCAAGGACCAAGACATCCTGGCTGGAGCCAAATTGAGGAGAACTGTAACGTTCGGTGAGAGGCCGTGGACACTAATCCCTGACAGGAGTAGGGAAACTCAATTCAGTAATTTAACTGTAATTGCAATATCTAATAGTAGATTGAGGGTAGTTTGTGCGGATCACAAAAGCTAAAAAGTCAGGCCGTTCATAGAGAAGGGCAGGATTTCTATGGACTTAATTCAAAAACAAAATTTTACGGCTGTAAATTAAAGGTGGGGAAAAAACCTGAGTGTGCTCAATAAGGCACATAATGTTGAGAGCGGCTGAGAGTCTGTTACAAGGGGGAGATGGGAAACTGGCCTATTTCTGCCCCATAATGCACTGCAATGACAAGGGCTCCCTTGGAGATACCCCAAGGTCCCATAACGTGTAGGATACCTGAGACTTCCCTAGAAGTTTGAAACTCACTGCCCTACACCAAAGAAAGGCTTGAGTTCCTGCTCACAATTTTTCTACTCTTAATCACCTTCCCTTCCCCGGAAAAGGAATACTGACGTTTGCTTACTCTGGCTGACTTTCCTGTTGTCTGTTTCAGAGCTTCATCATGGCTAACGGTGAAGACGGGTGTTGCCTGAAAGACGTGCTGGTCACGTTCCAGTCCTGCCTCAATGACCAGCAAGAAATCTTAATGGATCCTTACGTAGCAGGCTGGAAAGGACTAGTCAGGTACGATCACGTCCTCACTCTCTGTGCCTGTCTACTCAGCAGTAAATCCCACTGTGTTCATTGGGGCTCACTCTAAGATATGCATGCATAGAATTGCAGTGTTCATGAGGGATCTAGTCGCACAATTCTATATGGAGTTACTCTGCTCTAAGTCCACTGATTCTGTGGGTTTAGAGTGGGGCAACTCTGCATAGAATTTGACTGTAGAATTTATATCTTCATTGCTTCCGTGACTCTGCTACCCAAAATGTATTTAATTTATTTATTAAATTAGATTTACTAGGCCACCCTTCCCCAGAAACAGGCTCAGGGCAGCTTACAACAAAACAGTATACAAATCCCCAGGGAGCACTGCGTTCAGGGGCTCAAAACCGGCTGGCCCTTCCAGGCCCCAAAGATGTTCGGTTGGCGGCAGCCAGGGCCTTCTCGGGGGCACCTCCATACTGGTGGAATGAGCTCCCGGGAGAGATCAGGGCCCTGCGGGATCTACTACAGTTCTGCAGGGCTGGTAAAACAGAGCGCTTCCACCAGGCTTTCGACTAGCTAAAGGTAAAGGTTTCCCTCGCTCGAAAGCCAGTCGAATCCAACTCTAGGATGCAGTGCTCATCTCCGTTTCCAAGCCGAAGAGCCAGCGCTGTCCAGAGACATTTCCACGGTCACGTGGCCGGCGTGACTAGAAGTTAAGGCGCACGGAATGCTGTGACCTTCCCACCGAAGCAGTACCTATTTATCTACTTGCAATTGCTTGCTTTCGAACTGCTAGGTTGGCAGGAGCTGGGGCCACAGACGGGAGCTCACGTCGTCGTCGCGCAGCACTAGGGTTTCAAATTGCCTGGGGCGGCGGGGAAACCCCTGCTAATTGGGTTGGTTCCCCGCCAGCCCAAATCGGGCTGCCGGGGGGAACCCCACCCCCAAGAGCTGCACAGCTGAGATATCTCAATTAACAGCTGGATGGGATAGAGGGAGGGGTAGCATGCATCTTTTGGGCAGGATTTTTTCCTACCTTTCGGGCGGGTTTGAGTACGTTTCGGCTGATTTTATTGACTGTTTGTATTTTGTTAGCCATCGGAAGATGTAGAATTTTCCTTTTGTCTGGTTAACTATTGTTAATTGAGGTCACCTCGCCTTTTTCTTTGATAATGGAAGAGTTTTGCCTGATTTGCTGAACTTGGGTGTGGAGCCTGAAGCAGAGCGTCTTGGCGGGGAACCCAAAGCCGCACACAGCCACTCCTCCCCTCCGGATCAAATGGGCGCAGTCTGACAGCCACATCTGTCAGGCGTTCCCGCAGTCATACTCATCCTGTCATAGGACGAGTTGGAGCCAGGTTAAGAAGGCACCACATCACGTGGTGTTTTCAGTTCCCCACACAGTCATTGCACATGATCGGATGTCTGAACGTGGGGGAATGTGCGCAGAATAGATTTGGCAGTATGAACCTGCAGATCTGTTCTGCCACTAGGGAGGCAAGTTTTTAAAAATATTGCCCATGTGCACGCATGCACATGAGCGTGCACATGCGCACTTATGCGTGCGCATGAACTTTGGGGATTTTTTGCAGTGCGGTCCGTGGCTGAGGCGCTGCAATAATGTGTGGATGCTTTACCACAGGGTGTCTCCGTGGGTAACCCACAGCAGGGTGTGCTGTGTGGCTGATATATCCCACAACACTTTAAACCAGTACAATTAGAGGTGGCACCATATTGCGCCAAGCCACCATTGTGACCACAGCCACGGTCTCCCTTACTTGAAATGCCTTAGAACTAAAAGCAATCAAACAAACGGTCCTTAGGCTTAGGGTAGACCATAAAATGGCTAAACAAGATAAAACTCCTTTGCTAAAAGGCCACGTGGCATCCTGCGGCAGAGAATTCTTAAAGCGCAGCCATGCCTGGATCAGACCGGTGAATCACCAGGATTAACAGTGGCTCGCCACAGCAGCCAAGCCTCCCCCTTTTCGCCCCAGGAAGTAGTATTCAGGGATATACTGCTTTTGATCATGGAGGCTCTCTTGAGCTGTCACAGCTAATAGCCATTGGTAAACTCCATGAATTAGGTAATCTCTTTTTTAAAGCTGAGATCCTGTCTCTTGACACAGCCTGTGGCAGTGAGGTCCACAAGTTATTGTCTGAAAAGAAGTGCTCCTTGGTTTATACTTTTTCATGCCCCTCTGATGTTTTTTTCCCCATAAAGTGGAAAGCCCCCAATTTTTTTCCCTTTCGCTAATTAATTCCCCAGTTACGCCCCATGTGAAAAAATACTTCTTTTCATCAGACGTATGCCTACCACTCATCAGTTGTGTTGAATAACTCCGGATCCCAAGACAGAGAGAGATCTAGGAATCCCCCATAATTCTTCACATTTCTGTATCCTCAGGGTGTAGATAGAAGGAAACTCAAGCTCTCAAATATGACTTTTCGTTGCACGCCTCTCTTTTGGCCCGGGACATACAGTCTCCTGTCTTAAACCCTAGGTTCCTCAACATCTTGGGCACCATCTTCTCCTTCGTTTCCAAAGATGCGGTGGCCAAGATCCAGATCATGGAGAACTACCGCAGCAGCGATCAAAAGGACCAATACTCGACGCTTCATTCCATGGTGAAGTACGAACTAGCCAGCAACTTGGTGGATTTGAAAAAGCCCGGAGACCAGCCGCCCTCGGGCTGCCGGACAATCCTGCGTCTTCACCGCGCCCTCCGCTGGCTGCAGCTGTTCTTGGAGGGCCTGCGGACCAGCTCGGAGGACTCCAGCGCGTCGGCCCTGTGTACGGAAGCGTACAATGCCTCCTTGGCCAAGTATCACCCATGGATTATCCGAAAGACGGCCCTCCTGTCTTTCTACGTCCTACCTGCTCGGAACACCTTCCTGGAGCTCATGAACGTGGGCACCCCTGCGGATGCGGTGGCGATGCTGGAAGAGGCTTTGCCCAGCATCGTCAAGGTCTATGACATCACAGAAGCACTGTATGCCCAACACAACCTTCTTGACATCCCATAACCGAGTGGGCTAATAATCTATGCTTTCTTGAGTATCAGTGGTCGGGGTGAGCACAATCACTGGTGCCCGAGTCCGTGCATAAACAGGAGACGTGCTGGTACCAAAATCCATAGCTTCTCACACTCGGCTCTGTCCTAAATCTGGTTTCCTATAGCTGTAAGCTTTCTGTTGTCTGAGTACCTGTTCCGTTTAATTCATCTCCAAAGAAACACGACCAGACTCCTGGCCCTCTTGTGACACAGTCGAAAGCAATCATCTTCTGCTCTTTTTTTTAAATTGCAGAACTACAGACCGGACTTCTCAGGGCATAGATGGCTTCTGGTCTCGGGTTTAAATTGTTTGTGCTCTGTCAATCAAACGCTGTGTAATCGGGGCTTCACCACAGTGAAATCATTGCTTTGCAAAAGTCGGCTCTTTGCAACAAGTTGTTGCATTTTTTTTAGCATGGAAACGGGGGGGGGATGATGGTCAAAGGGGGCTTATGTAATGGCGCGATCGACAAGGCACACGAGGCGGAAGGTCCCACCGAAATTCTGTTGGGCCCTGAGACATACGAAGCTGCGTTACACCCTGGCGGGCCATGAGACTGCTGCACCCCTTACTGTGTGCTCTGCCTGCTGTTGACTCGAGCAAAATCCTTTCCCGGCCCTTTTCGTGCAAGATCCTTTTTAAATTGGAGGTGCCAGGGATTGAATTGGAGACCTTCTGCGTGCCAAGCGGGGTCTCTGAACGATGAAGCTGTTGCTCCTTGCTCCCCACCCCTGGCTGCGCAGAGGGATGTGTCGTTCTGGCTTCAGGCAGACAGTCGCACCCCTAAGCCATTACCGCAAAGGCAGTGTTCTTCTGCAATTTACAGTAAGGTACCCAAGACCTTCGGCATGCGGGATGCTGCTGCTAGGACTATCAGGGGTGTTGGGATACCTACAGAGGGAAAGCAGTGCTGGACGTGCTAGATAACCTCTCTGTAGCACAGATCCGTCTTCATTGGATAATCGCTGGACAGGACACTGGCCGTGGGGGGGTTTGAGGGCCTGACAGGGTTCAGACGAGGCCTTTCTGCCACCCCCTTGCGCAGAGGCGACAGCACATCGGTCCCTGGTTCCAGACAAAGGGCCTGACAATCAATCTTTCAGTGTTATGGATACTAAGAGCAGGGGTCCCAACCCTTTTGGGGCCTGTGGGCTTCTGACAAAAATGGCTGCCGTCAATGCTCCCTGTAAGCTGTGGAGTCCTGTGAGCAAAAATTCTACTTTGTGAGCTCACTGGCATTAAAGTTGTGAGCGAGCGACTTGGCTGCTGCATCAATTAGTTTGCTCTGGAGCCCTCCTTCCTGAGCTGAGACATAAATGTGTGAGCCGGAGGCTAAAAAGCTGTGAGCTAGCTCACACTGACTCAGCTTAGAGGGAACACTGGCTGCCGTAGCTTCCCTTCAGTCACACAGTGAGGGTCCTCGGCCTGTGCTGGCCATCTGCCGCCAATCAAATCTCCAGTGGCCAGTCAGAGGCATTGCTGGGGGAAAGCCCCACCTGGCTCCGCCCACTTCCTTAAAACACTTGGTGGGCGCCAGGAAACGTATCGGTGGGCACCACGTTGGGGACCCCTGGCCTAGAGGGTGTCGGTAATACGAGCTGCCGTTTCTTTAAATGCTACCGACCTGCCTCTGCATAGAACTCGAGGCCGCTGTCGCCCAGTTTGATCAAAACTAACAGGTCTGTGCAGCAGTGCTACGAACTCATTACTAAGAACAATAGCTGCACGGTCAAAACAAAACCAGATTACGAGCTGCTGTTTCTTTAAATGCTACCGACCTGCCTCTGCATAGAACTCAAGGCCGCTGTCGCCCAGTTTGATTAAAACTAACAGGTCTCTGCAGCAGTGCTACGAACTCATTACTGAGAAAAATAGCTGCACGGTCAATACAAAACCAAAAAAACACAGAGCCAAACGGCAGAAAGAAGACTCGAGGGACTAACCTCAGCGTTCAGCGGCCAAATCGGGAACAGGTCCCGTAGCGGCGGCCCTCCTAGTTAGCGGAAACGAATGGAAAGGCACAGTGCCCTCAAAGAACCCACACCTGACTGCTTGAGAATATCTGACGCCTGATGGGCAGTTGTCAGTCTGTGTAAAAGAGCACCGTTCATCGTTTCTGCTGCTTTATCGGCAGCCTTTCTGGTGTTCAGTCTATCTGCTTCCCCCCTCCCCCTTCTGGCTCGTAGCTCTTCTTGCTTATCACCATCCTTGACTCTTCCTTCCTCTGCCTCTACTCTCATTCCTTGTCCGAGGGAGTGGCGCTATCCTGTGCTTGCCTTTTCCTGAATTAGAAGCTGCTTTAAAAAGGTAGTCTTCTTGTTAAAATCATCCAGCTTTTCTATTGCTCAAAGCAGCGAAGAAGGCAACTTTCAAAGTATTTAAGAGTTTTTCTGCCAGAACCTTTCATTCCCCGTAGCCCCAGGTCCAGAAATAGCCACACTTTGTTCCCGTTAAAGTTAGCTGGTCGGACTCGCTGCTAACTTGTCCCCCAGTCGCTGGAACAAAACCGCACAAGCCTGTGCATGTTTACACAGAAGGGACGCCTACTTTATTCAGTGGGGATTACTCCCAGGTAAGCAGGCCCTGAATTGCAATCTGTAAGCATGCCTGACTCTCCCTGGATCAGTGCCCTAGTAGCTACAGCAGGGTCTGTTTGGAGTTCTGCTTATCTGCTATTGAACCATCTTCGCTCTCTCGTACCAAGACTTTTCTGTTAGGAAATGCTTAAAAAATTTTTTAACTATGCTGTAACATTTCAGGATGTTTCTACGCAAGGCTGTTGGTCAGGCCTTTAGACAAGGGGTCCCTAACCTTTGGTGTTTGTGGGCACCTTTGGAATTCTGACAAAGGGCGGTGGGTACAAACACAAAATGGCTGCCGCAGGAGGTGGAGCCAATCACAAAATGGCTGCCGCAGGAGGTGGGGGTAGTCACAAAATGGCTACCGCAGGAGGTGGAGCCAACCACAAAATAACATGGATCCAGGTTATATACAACTCTAATAGGAACGTCAACGTTTCGGGCAGATGGGCTGTTTAACAGGATGCCTTTTAATCTGCATAGCCAAGCGGAAGCCCTGCTGGGAAAAGGTCCCACCTAGCCTCACCCACGTTCTAAAAGCACTTGGGACACCCCAGGAGAGGTGTCGACGAGGGTGGGCGCCACGTTGGGGACCCCTGCTCTAGACAATCTAAGGTGTTCTGTATAAGGGATGTTTTTCACGACGTGTCTGTCGTGCCAGATTCTCTCTTTATTTTCAAGCCAATCAAAGTGTTCACCGTACTGTCACGGGTTTCTGTCTGTCTCATGTCTGTGTAAGCTGTCCACGCTGGAAATATTTGCACTGCAGTCCTGCAGACTGAATGCTTGTACCGGGATTGTATTGAAGATTCTATATCTATCAGTTGGGTTGAAATAAATACTCTCTCTGCACCGGGAGCAGCGTTGTGGATTTTTCAGTGCCGAAAAGCGCAATGGTGGTAGCGAAAAGTTGTCCACTCCACAGTCAAGGCAGGGTCCATAAACAGCTGGGGGGTGACCCTGCCCCAATTGCATGTCCCAATGAAGGGCAGCTACCCCCTCGGAAGCAGATACACACGCTGTCTGCCTCCTGCCCTTAAAAGCTTAAAGGTAAAGGTTCTCTTGCTCAAAAGCCAGTCGAGTCCGACTCTAGGGTTGCCGTGCTCATCTCCGTTTCAAAGCCGAAGAGCCAGCGCTGTCCTAAGACGTTTCCGTGGTCATGTGGCCGGCGTGACTAAACACCAAGGCGCACGGAACGCTGTTCCCTTCCCACCGAAGTGGTACCTATTTCTCTACTTGCAGTTTCTTGCTTTCGAACTGCTAGGTTGGCAGGAGCTGGAACTAGAGACGGGAGCTCACTCCGTCATGCGGCACCCGAGTCTCGAACTGCTGAACTTCCAACCTTCCACAGCCCGCAGTTCAGCGTCTTAACCACTTGAGCCACCGCAGCTCCTCTTAAAAGCTTACACTTATACAAAAGGGATTTCTTGGCAGTAGGACACCCTCTGTGTCTTCCTAGGAGCCCTTCCAGATCTCTGAGACCAGGCCACGTATAGAGAACTTGTAGAAGGGTTGGGACCAGGCCCGTAGCTACAGTGGGGGCATCCTGGGGCTAGGCCCCCTGACTTACTGGCCAGCCCCCCCCCTTCCCATCCAGCCCAGGGCCCCTGAGTGACTGCAGGTGCAGGGAAGGAGCCGGGTATTCCTTTCATTTGATTAGCCAGTGCCCCCTAAGAAATTTAAATGCCCCCCGACTTTAACAATCCTGGCTACAGGCCTGGTTGGGACCAGTGTAAGATTGAAAGGTCCCCTGAATTCATAAGACTACGACTGGGTAAGAAACAGACAACATAGACACTTAGAATGGGACACTCAGGAATCCCTGAAGCTGTAACCGCGTCCCGGGAGACCAAACCATGCTGTAGCAGGGTGCATCAAGAGGCCGGCCCAGAAGAGCAACTCATACAGAGGTTCACCAGCGAAGTCTGCTAGGTGTGGGAGCAAGTATAATGGTGTCCTTGGGGCAGGCGTAACAATGGTTTCATCCCACTCAGTTTGATGTAGTGGTTAAGAGCGGCAGACTCTAATCGGGAGAACCCGGGTTTGATTCCCCACTCCTTCCACGTGCAGCCAGCTGGGTGTCCTTGGGTCAGTCACAAGTTCTCTCGGAGCTCTCTCAGCTCCACCTACCTCACAGGGTATCCCTTGTGGGGAGAGGAAGGGAAAGAGATCGTACGCCACTCTGAGTGAAGGGCGGGATATAAATCTAATCTCCTCCTCTTCTTCTGAGAGGCAGCAGAATCACAGTTGATCGGGATGAGGAGATGCCTGGGATCCATTAGAAGCTTAGCAGCATATCTGAGCCTGAACATATTGAGATCAGCGTCCTATTTGAATGAATTGTGTTATCTTTCATGACTTGTTGTACAGCACTTTAAGAGCAAGAAAGCTTTTGTACCACTCTAATATTCCTGAAGAAGATCCAATGTTGAAACGTTATATAATCCGGAGACGACGTTGATGATGTATCTTTGATTATGTATGTTTGTTCTAGGATTTTCTTATGATTTGTAGGAATTTAGACTGTAATACACAGGAAGCATTTTTTGCAAGTCTTGTTGACTGCTTGATTTGTGGGTCAGACTCTCACGACTGTTTTCCTTATACTTTTTCTCCAGGATGAGGTGGAGCCAGAACAGTAAATCATGCAGATACACAGCGGGCACCGCACTGCTGGTAGAGGTATTCAACCAAACCAGATTGGAGTTTGATTTTCCATGTCCTGAGTTGTTCAGCTCAATAAACTATAGGTCTTTGTTGTGGGCACTTGTGTCTGAGAAAGCGATCTCGCTGAACCAATTTTAACTTCACCCTGCATCAGAGTTCAGCTGTTCAATACAAAAAAACAACAACAACAGAAACCGTAACTGCTTTACCAGAAATTTTGGACTCTGCTCCAGGGTAGCATAAAGGACAGTTGAGATGTAAATGGACATATTTTAATCATTAGAGTGCTCAAATCAGAAAACTGGATGCATGCAACCCTCTAAGTCACACATCTTTAAAACAGACCACCCTAGACAATCACGCTCAGCAAAGCTGAAGGCGGCAGGAAAAGAGGAAGACATAGCATGAGATAAGCTGTCTTCTGCTTTGAGTGAGAAAGATGATGCCTGTCTGTACCTGTGCCGGGTTCCTTCACAAGGCTGATGCATTTCCATTCTGTACGGCTAATTCTGGTGCCTTCCATGGAGACAGATCAAGACGGGTGGCTGTGTTCATCTGTCCGTCTGCAGCAGTAGAAAAGACCAAGAGTCCAGTTAACACCTTAAAAAGGTAAAAGTTCCCTTGCTCGAAAGCCAGTCGAGTCCGACTCTAGGGTTGGTGCTCATCTCAAGCCAGTCGAGTCCGACTAGGGTTGCGGTGCTCATCTCCGTTTCAAAGCCGAAGAGCCAGCGCTGTCCGAAGACGTTTCCATGGTCACGTGGCCGGCATGACTAAACACCAAGGCGCACGGAACGCTGTTACCTTCCCACCGAAGTGGTCCCTATTTATCTACTTGCAATTTCTTGCTTTCGAACTGCTAGGTTGGCAGGAGCTGGAACTAGAGACGGGAGCTCACTCCGCCTTGCGGCACCCGGGTCTCAAACTGCTGAACTACTGACCTCCACAGCCTGCAGTTCAGCATCTTAACCACTTGAGCCACCGCAGCTCCTTAGTTAACACTTTAAAGACTAACAAAATATGCGGCGGGGGAGGAGCTTTCGTGAGTGTCTGAAGAAGTGAGCAGCGACTCGCAGAAGCTCCTCCCCTGCCACAAATCTTGTTCCAATCCAATCCAAATAGCTTTATTGGCATAAAAACAAAAGAAAGGTACAACATGGCAAATTTACAGAGAGTCTTAATTATAAAAACCATCAAACATCGGCTAGAAAAGCTAAGCTTTTGCTCCCTGTTTGTTATGGCAGCCAAGAGGTACCTTGCAACTGAACTTGTAGTATGGGAACATCGGTCAGATAGTAAGAGAGAGACTAACTTCGCCTCGGATAGACCGTGAAAGTTAGACACGGCCCCGGTCACATGGCAAAGTTGCCGCGGGAGAGGCACGGATGGTGGGCGGATTATCCGGGCGCGATCACACCCCAACATCTGGGAAGTGGAGTGCACCCGTGACTTACCGCCGACAATGCGCGTTAAAAAACTAGTACCTCCAAGGTACTAGTAAATGTTTGCCACGGGCTGCCTCCAGACACCCGTGGTGTTATCACGCCGGCCCGTGGCATTCCCCTCCGGTCCCTCATTTACCCACTGGCGCCGAGGGAAGGACCCGTGGTGTGCCGCCGGCGCGTCTGATCATGTAATCGCACATCAAACTGCGGCGGGGCAATTAGCCATGCCTCCCCCCCGCAATATCCGGCCCATGTGACCGGGGCCCACAATAGGTTTAATTCTACAGTCCCACACTTCCCCATAAAAATTCACAATGAAGTAAAACTTGGGCTACCGTTTCTATGTGCCCTCCTTTACATGGACAAAGTCTTTCCTGATAGGGAGTGTTGACAAACCTCCCAGACAATACCGCTGAGGGTAAAACATTGCGTCTTCCTAACATAAAAGAGCGGCGTAACTTGGGTGAGGAAATCTGGGAAAGGTAGGCAGCAGGCCGTCCATAGTCTGGAAAGATACCAAATGCTAAAGGGGAGCAAGTTTTGTTTTCAAGAGAACAGAAAGTCTGTTTCTCAATATCTGGAATCCTCTGTTTCAAAATTCTACATGCCTGCGTTTCACGTAACATGCAGAAGTTGTCCAAAGAGACACCTATAGGGTGCGGTCAGACGGCCTGCCGGGAGCGGTTTAAACTGCTCCGGTTCCAAGTGGACTAATCTGATCCGGGGCAAGCGCGGTCACCCTCACCGCACAACACATCGCTCCCGGGCGTCCACACTAGGCGCGCAGCAGCGTGTGTCGGCGGTTTTAAAAATTATTATTTTACATTTTGCGCATGCGCATAGGCAGCCATCCACAGAATTGAGCTCTTCGCGCAGGCGCAGAACACCCTGTCCTGAAAAGCATGCCCTGAAGGAACACTGCCCTTTAAACTTCTACAGCGAAAAGGGCCTCCGTGAGGTCCCGGACTCGTCCGAAGCCTAAAACGAATCACCTTTTAAAAATTGTTATTAACACCGGGGCGAAGCTTCACCCAATCGCATATCGCTGAGGCTAAAAAAAAAAAAGGCGGGCGAAAAGTGGAAGCCTTGGGCTTCCCAGCGGAAGTGGCTCTACACCGGCAAAGAGCGATCACATGGGGAAAATGCAGCTGGAGCCAGAGCCCTCAGGAAAACACCACTTGGGGACCTAGTAGCAAACTACACTGGTTTAAAGAGTGTTTGGGACGGTTGGCAATGGCTCGGGACAAGAGGCAGATGTTGCCTGTGTGATCGCGCGTAAGTACTCCGTTTCCAACCGGCATCTATACCGGCTCAAATGGCCCATCCGAACGCACCCATAAAGGTAAAGATAAAGGTTCCCTTGCTCGAAAGCCAGTCGAATCCAACTCTAGGGTTGCGGTGCTCATCTCCGTCTCAAAGCCGAAGAGCCAGCGCTGTCCGAAGACATTTCCGTGGTCATGTGGTCGGAATGACTAAACACCAAGGCGCACGGAACACTGTGACCTTCCCACTGAAGTGGTACCTATTTATCTACTTGCAATTTCTTGCTTTCGAACTGCTAGGTTGGCAGGAGCTGGAACTAGAGACGGGAGCTCACTTCGTCATGCGGCACACTTGGGACTCGAACTTCTGAACGAACGACCTTCCACAGCCTGCAGTTCAGCGTCTTAACCACTTGAGCCTTCTGGATCTGACTACACCAGTTGGAAACAAAAGAATCAGCTAGCATCATATGGATATAGCTAGCAGGTTCAGCCCTAAAGTGTAGGCACAGCCAACACTTTAAGGTTAGTAGCCATGCCCTCGTCTCTATCAGATGCATCCCAGTCTCTAAGCACATTGTAGCATAGCTAACACAGTTGGGGACCCCCAAAATACACTGTCAGAATGTTGCCTGGACACAAATCTTGTTAGTCTTTCGGTTGCTGCTGGACTCTTGTGCTTTTCTCCTGCTCCAGACAGACGAACACAGCTGCCCGTCTTGATCTATCAACATGAGATGGATTGACTCAATCAAGGAAGCTGCGGCCTTCGGTTTGCAAGACTTGAGCAAGGCAGTTAATGATAGGATGCTTTGGAGGTCCTTGATTCAGGGGTCGTTTCGTAGAAAAAGAGCTAGGGGAACTCATTAGCATAATTCATTAGCATATGCCACACCCCCTGACATCACCGGAAGTGTGTCATAAGGCCACACCCCCTGACATCACCGGAAGTGTGTCATAAGGCCACACACCCCGCTCCCAACGGTCCCGGCCACCGCCGCTGGCCTTGCAGCTCCACTGCTGAGCCCCATGAGGGGCCCGGCGGTGGACCTGCAAGGCCGGCGGGAGTGCAAGGAAGCCTCGCGAAGGCCCTCCCTGGCCCCAGGCAGGCAGGGGTGGGGAGAGGCAGGGAGGAAGCAACTTACCCTCCCTCTTCTCCTGCCTCCTCCTGGCTGAATGAGGGCCGGAAGCGGGGCAGCCGGAAGCAGGGGGTGGGGCTTCATCATGTGCCCCGCCCCCGTACCTCACCGGGGGGGACTGTGATCCCCCGCGATCCCCCCCCGAAATGACCTCTGCCTTGATTCATAGGGTCACCAGAAGTCGGAAGCAATTTGATGGTACCTAATACACACACACCTCTTTCTGGTCCCCTGTGTGCCAGCAGGCGAGAAAAAGAGTCCACCGTCATGCATTGTGTTGCGCTTAAAGCAAAAAGAACCATCACTATGACCCCGGGCTGGAGAAAGCAAAACCTCTTGCCCTTTCCAAGCCAATGTCAAAAGCGCTCGATGAGGAAACGGCAAAGATTTGGGCCAGCGGTTTGCAAAAGAGCAACCCTGACTAGCCCCATTGGACATTTGCTTAGCATGGATGACTAAGCCTCCCCCCGCAGATGCATGATCCCGCACACAACGTACTTTGCTAAACAAATCCTTTTGGGACGTTTCCCCTCCTTGGCCATCTATAACTCAAGTTAATAAAAAAATAAATGTTGAGGAGGTGACACCTTGCGTTTTGAGAGTCTTCCCTGCCTGCCGTTGCCGCATCCGACTCCAAAACTAGGAGGCAAAGATTGCTGTTGGAACCGTTCAAGGGCCATGGCCGCTTTCCTTGTGCTCGGTATCGGTTTGGGCTGGACCCTGGCCCGGGAAGAGCGCTGCATCTCTTCCCAGTTTAGAAAACCCGGAGACTATCTGCTGGGTGGATTGTTCCCTTTACGAGTCCTCACCACCAGTGCAATGGACCGGACGTTGCCGGATGTTTACATGTGCGAGAGGTAAGGAGGGAATCGAAGGTGAGCCCCCAAAGGTAACGCTGCGGCAAGAAAGCCAAATACCTCCGGGCACAGATGCTCTGCAGAAGGAAAGGTGGATGCTTTCAAGCTCCTTTTTACGTCCTTCCCAAGTGGGTGCTGTTAGGATGTGGGTTGGCACAGCCAGGCATCTACTGAGGCTCATGGTCCTACATACCACCAATGGCTGACACAAGAGCATAGGGAGAGTGAACACAAGAGCATAGGGAGCACCATATTCTGCTGAGTTACCCTCTCATCCGCTGGGAGATTGCTACTATGGTGGAGCAGCACTGAGGGAGGTGGAAAGGGGAGTCAGAGAATGGGAGGAGGGGGTGCCCAAAGCCCCACAAACACATGTGCCCGTCTCTTTATGCTAGAAAGAGGGTGCAGGGACCTTGATCTGGGACCAGCAAAGCAACAATTGTGTCCTTATCAAAGAGTAAATACGTCACTATTAGGCAGGACTGTCAGTAGCTGTTAGCCATGAATGTGCATGAAGCTGCCTTCTACTGAATCAGACCGTGGTCCACCCAGGTCAGTATGGTCCACGCAGAGTCGCAGCCGCTCTCCGGGGTCTCCCTTCACATCCCCTACCACCTGGTCCTTTCACCTGCAGAGCCTGGGACCCTTCTGCTCGACCACTTGGGCCACAGCCCCCTCCCCATCAGAGTGGAACCTCCACAATCACAGACAATGTACCTGGAATAGCAGATGCTTCTAAAGTGCCGCGGTGGCTCAGAGGCTAAGACGCTGAGCTGCAGACCGGAAGGTCTGTGGTTCGGCAGTTCAAGACCCGAGTGTGCCGCGTGATGGAGTGAGCTCCCGTCTCTGGCCCCAGCTCCTGCCAACCTAGCAGTTCGAAAGCAAGAAACTGCAAGTAGATAAATAGGTACCGCTTCAGTGGGAAGGTAACGGCATTCCGTGCCCCTCGGCGTTCAGTCATGCTGGCCACATGACCACAGAAATGTCTCCGGACAGCACTGGCGCTTCAGCTTGGACACAGAGATGACCACCGCCCCCTAGAGCCAGTTTGGTGTAGAGAGAGCCAGTTTGGTGTAGTGGTTAAGTGCGCGGACTCTAATCTGGGAGAACCCGGTTTGATTCCCCACTCCTCCACTTGCACCTGCTGATGTGACCTTGGGTCAGTCACAAGCTCTGGCACAGCTGTCCTTGAAAAAGAGCAGTTTGTGTCAGAGCTCTCTCAGCCCCACCCACCTCACAGGGTGTCTGTTGTGGGGAGGGGAAGGGAAAGGAGTTTGTAAGCCGCTCTGAGACTCCAAGTGAAGGGCAGGGTATCAATCCAATCCTTCTTTCGAGCAAGGGAAACCTTTACCTTTACTTAGATAGACCTCGGTCTGATCCAGGGCAGCTATTTTAATGTCCCGAATCCTCACACCTCCCCTCCCCTTTTCCCCTGCAGGCTTTATGCCACAGGTCTCGTCTGGGCTCTGGGGATGAAGTTTGCCGTGGAGGAAATCAACAACTCCACAACGCTGCTGCCAGGGATCAAGCTGGGCTACAACATCTACGACGACTGCTCGGAGCCGATCGTCGCCCTCCAGCCCAGCCTCCTGTTCCTCACCAGGACAGGCAGCAACAGAATCGGAGTCCTCTGCAACTACACCGACTACCAGCCCCGGGTGCTGGCGGTCATAGGGCCGCACAGCTCTCAGCTCTGCACCGTTACTGCTAAGCTCTTTAGCTTCTTCCTGATCCCGCAGGTCATTTTTTTTTGTAAAGCGCCATATTAGAAAGTTCTCTTGATAGAAACGTAGAGCTGGAAGGGACCCACAAGGGTCATCTAGTCCAACCCTATGCGCAATGCAGGACATTCACAGCTACCTCCCCTCTCCCACTCCCCCAGTGATCCCCGCTCTATTTAAAACTTTAATTTTTCTAGTTATGGGACACGGGAGTCGAACTTCTCTCTGCTGGGTCATCTGGGCATTTCTACCTGTGCTGTCCCAGCAGACTTTTTTAGACATACAGATAGAACACTAGACTGGAACCCAACAGATAGAATCCATATCTTTAAGAAGAAGAAGAAGATATTGGATTTATACCCCGCCCTTCACTTGGAGTCTCAGAGCGGCTTACAAACTCCTTTCCCTTCCCCTCCCCACAACAGACACCCTGTGAGGTGGGTGGGGCTGAGAGAGCTCTGACAGAAACTGCTCTTTTTCAAGGACAGCTGTGCCAGAGCTTGTGACTGACCCAAGGTCACATCAGCAGGTGCAAGTGGAGGAGTGGGGAATCAAACCCGGTTCTCCCAGATTAGTCCGCGCACTTAACCACTACACCTATTTCATATTTAATAGGGGGGGGGGGGGGGGGAAGAAAGACTGCTTTTTGCCAAGAACTGTCACCTGAAGGGTAGTAGGATATTTGAAGGGCTGTCACTTAGAGGAGGGCAGGGAGCTGTTCCTGTTGGCAGCAGAGGAGAGGACTCGCAAGAATGGGTTTAAATGAAGGGCGGGAAGGGACCGGCTGGATCTCAGGAAAAACTTTTTGACAATAGGAGTTTTTCAACAGTGGCATCAGCTGCCTCGGGAGGTGGTGAGCTCCCCCTCACTGGCAGTCTTCAAGCAGCGGCTGGACAAACCCTTGTCAGGGATGCTATAGGCTGATCCTGCATTGAGCAGGGGGTTGGACTGGGTGGCCTGTGTGGCCCCTGCCAGCTCTGTGATCAGTCCGTAGCCACAGTGGGGCATTTAGGGGCGGTGCCCCTTCATTCATGGCCCACGCCCCACAATTCCCGCTATGGGAGTTGTGCCAGCAGGTAAGGAAAGACCCTTCTCTTCTTCACCTGCCTGCCAATGGGATCTCTCTCTCTCTCTCTCTCTCTCCCACTCCCCTGCCCCCCAGATTTCCCAATGCCCCACCACTCAAAATTTTCTGGCTATGCCCCCGTCTGTGATTCTATCATTCCGTGACAGTTTGCACCAAACTTCCAAGATTTGTCCCACAACTTTTGTGCTCGAACACGGCAAATTGCTTGTTTCGTTTATTTAAAATCGTCCCTTCCCCTGCCCCATTGATCCAAAGGTTTCCAAGCAAACGGACAAAAAAGTTAGATTCGAGTCCAGTAGCAAGATTTTTTTGGGGGTACGTGCTTTCGAGGGTCAAAGCTCTCTTCGTCTGCTTTGACCCTCAAAAGTTCGTACCCCGAAAATCTTGTTGGTCTCTAAGATGCCATGGCATTCGAATCTAGCTCCCCTACGGCAGACCAACACATCTTCCCTCTGAAACCGGCAAAAGGGTTGGGTAGAAATGGACTGTCAATGTGACCACCACTTATGTCCCTCCAGATCAGCTATGGTGCCACGTCACAGAAGCTGAACAGCGAGGAGATGTACCCCTCTTTCTTCCGCACTGTGCCCAGCGACAAGATCCAACTGGACGCCATGGTGGAACTCCTGACCTCTTTCAAGTGGAACTGGATCGCAGTCATAGGCAGCGATGACGAATACGGCCGAGAAGGCCTCAGCCTCCTGTCTTCCATGGCGGTCAGCAAAAGCATCTGCGTCGCCTACGAGGGGCTGATCCCGGCAGACGTACTGAGCCCTGATTTTGACAAGACGTTGGTGTCGACCATTGAGTCGGTCAACAAAACCAACGTCAACGTCATCGTCCTTTTCTCCAACGACCGAACCGTCCGGGCTCTCTTCAAAGAGTGTCTCCGGCTAGGACTGGGCAAGAAGGTATGGCTGGCCACCGAAGCGTGGGTGATGTCTGACGTGGTCACCTCCCTCGGGCGAGTGGACTCTATTGGGACAGTCATTGGTTTCATCATCAAGGCCGGAAACGTCTCCAGCTTTCACGAGTACGCCATCAGACTCTTTGAGCTGAGCCAACAGAAGAGTTTCTGCGAGGCTTCCCAGAAGGAAGCCAATGAGGTGGGCTCGGACGTCCTGGGGTCGCAGTGCCCGCAATGTGACCAGGTTTCCCTGGAGAACTACGAGGGGCTGATCCCGGCAGACGTATTGAGCCCTGATTTTGACAAGACGTTGGTGTCGACCATTGAGTCGGTCAACAAAACCAACGTCAACGTCATCGTCCTTTTTTCCAATGACCGAACCGTCCGGGCTCTCTTCAAAGAGTGTCTCCGGCTAGGACTGGGCAAGAAGGTATGGCTGGCCACCGAAGCGTGGGTGATGTCTGACGTGGTCACCTCCCTTGGGCGAGTGGACTCTATTGGGACAGTCATCGGTTTCATCATCAAGGCCGGAAACGTTTCCAGCTTCCACGAGTATGCCATCAGACTCTTTGAGCTGTGCCAACAGAGGAGTTTCTGTGAGGCTTCCCAGAAGGAAGCCAATGAGGCGGGCTCGGATGTCCTGGGTTCACAGTGCCCGCAATGTGACCAGGCTTCCCTAGAGACCATCAAAGGGGTGCTGGAGCATCGGCAGACTTTTGCTGTGTACACGGCTGTCTACAGCGTGGCCCATGCGCTCCACAACGCGCTGGGTTGTGAAAGCGGGCGGTGTAACAAGAGCAGTGTCAAACCTTGGCAGGTGAGAGAACAAAGGTGAGGGGGCCCTCTTCAAAGTGGGAAACAGGCTGGAGCCAATCCACCTATGTCCTTTCAGCGATGGGACGTACCTGCTAATTCTAGGGTTGCTAACTCCAGATTGGGAAATTCCTGGAGATGTGGGGGTGGAGCCTGAGGAGGGCGGGATTTGAGGACTTCAGTGGGGTATAATGACATCCAGTCCACCCTCCAAAGCAGCCATTTTCTTCAGAGGGACTGACTCTGTAGTCTGGAGATCAGTTATAACAGGGGTCGTTTCGTAGAAAAAGAGCAGGGGCCCGGCGGTGGACGTGCAAGGCCGGCGGGAGTGCAAGGAAGCCCCGCGAAGGCCCTCCCTGGCCCCAGGCAGGCAGGCAGGGGTGGGGAGAGGCAGGGAGGAAGCAACTTACCCTCCCTCTTCTCCTGCCTCCTCCTGGCTGAATGAGGGCCGGAAGCGGGGCGGCCGGAAGCAGGGGGTGGGGCTTCATCATGTGCCCCGCCCCCCCCCGTACCTCACCCGGGGGAACTGCGATCCCCTGCAATTCCCCCCAAATGACCTCTGAGTTATAATTCTGGAAGATCTCCCGGCAGCACCTGGAGGTTGGCAGTACTCATTGCTTCCTTCTTCTGCCCCACTCTGGTCAATAAGAAGAAGAAGAGAAGAAGAAATTGGGTTTATACCCCCACCCTTCACTACCTGAAGGAGTCACAGAACGGCTTACAATCTCCTTTCCCTTCCCCTCCTAACAGATACCCTGTGAGGTAGGTGGGGATGAGAGAGCTCTTGACAGAAACTGCTCTGTCCAGAACAGCTGTGAGAGAACCGTGAGAGACTGACCCAAGGTCATGCCAGCTGCTGCATGTGGAGGAGTGGGGAACCAAACCCGGTTCTCCCAGATTAGAGTCCACGGCCCTAACCACTACACCAAAGTGTATATCATTAGAAGCACTGGGAAACACAACAGATATATTTGATTAATATAAGATAAAACACAGAGAAAAGGAAGCAAGGGCTTTGTCTCCCACCTTCATCTTTTCTTAACTCTTAATCTTTTCAGTCCTGCCAGACCAAAAAGTTAAGGTACAAAAATGAGAATAGGGGAAGAAGCGGACAAATAGCCAGCAGACCTCTCGGTGCATTAAAAATGGCTCCTGGCAAGTGGAAGGGAGCCGGAAGCACTTTTTTTCCTCTCCTCCTCAATCTCTGCAACACAAAATATTTGTGTTTTTAGAAAGCGGGCGGGGCCACCTGGAGCTTTTGCCCAGCAAGGCTTCTGATTGGCCATTGGACATTTGATTTTTTTTTAAAAAAAAAACACGTTGCCTTTGCCAGCAGCTGCCACCACAGCCCAAGGATCTTCACTGCGTGACTGAAGGTAAGCTGAGGCGGCCATTTTGTGGCTGGCTCCATGTTCCACAGCTAGGGTTGGCAGGTGCCCCCAAAGACCCCAGCGGGGGACTTTGGGGGGTGTTACTGGAGGGGGTGGGGAGTCCCCAGCGTCATGACATCACTCAGAAATGACGTCATCACATTCGGGAGTGGAAACTCCAACCTCTCCCCAGCAACATTTAAAGGGTCTTTTTAAACCCTGCTGGGAAGAGGTGGTGGTGGGTGCCCAGACCTGCCTCTCCCCAGCAGCATTGAAAGCCTTCTTTTAAACGCTGCTGGGGAGAGGTGGGTGAGGAAGCCGCATGTGCCTGCACTCCAAGCCCCAAATTCAGGGCTCGGAGTGCAGGCGCCCAGGCCCCCACCTCTCCCCAGCAGATGTATTTAAACACTGTTGGGAAGAAGTGGAGAGGAGGCCGGGTGGAAGGAAGCCCCTCCAAATCGGGCAACCCCCGCCAAACTGGGGGGTCTGGCAAGCCCACCTGCAGCAGCTGTTTTGTGGCTGCGCCCGCCGCACTGTGACAGCAGTCCGGAGTTGCCTGCAGGCTCGAAAAGCCTGGGGATGCCTGCAGTGCAGCATTCTGCATGATTCCAGATCTAGCACAGCTCCCAGAGAAGGGGCCGGCACAGGCCAGAGATCTTTGTTGGGATATTGGGTGTAGTTTCGTTCGCTGGGAGGTAAAATTGGGAGGTGGAACCGCGGGGTCTCCGTCCACCGCCTCCCTCTCCATTTCTGCAGCTGCTGGAAGAAATGAAGACCCTCAATTTCAGCACCAGAAACCAGTCGTTCCAGTTTGACCGATACCGCAGCATCAACAAGGGCTACGAGGTCATTGGGTGGAGCTGGAAGGACGGCCAGATCAAGTACACCACCCTTGGAGAATTCAATGGGAAACTGAACATCAACAAATCCCTGCTTCTTTTTCATACCGAAAATCAACAGGTAAAAACGGAGAAGGTAGTCAGTTTCTCCTTCTTCCCCAACTTACGTCCACAAAAATTCCTCACCTCGCCGATCAGCGCATCTTGTTTATATCCTAGTTATATCCTACTAGAAAGGAGTCATAAAAAGGTAAAGGTTCCCTTGCTCGAAAGCCAGTCGAGTCCGACTCTAGGGTTGCGGTGCTCATCTCCGTTTCAAAGCCGAAGAGCCAGCGCTGTCCGAAGACATTTCCGTGGTCATGTGGCCGGCATGACTAAACACCAAGGCGCACGGAACGCTGTTCCCTTCCCACCGGAGTGGTACCTATTTATCTGCTTGCAATTTCTTGCTTTCGAACTGCTAGGTTGGCAGGAGCTGGAACTAGAGACGGGAGCTCACTCCATCATGTGGCAACTCGGGTCTCGAACTACTGAACTACTGACCTTCCACAGCCTGCAGTTCAGTGTCTTAACCACTTGAGCCACCGCAGCTCCTAGCTAGAAGTCATACACTTGGTTAAAACCCAGAATTAGGGGACTCCTAATTATTTGGTACCTCACAGGAGCAAGTGATAACTTGCCTGATAGCTAGATAAGTTCTGTCTAACACAGTGGTTCTCAACCTTCCTAATACCGCGACCCTTTAATACAGTTCCCCAACCATAAAATTATTTTCGTTGCTACTTCATAACTGGAATTTTGCTATTGTTATGAATCGTAATGTAAATGTCTGATATGCAGGATGTGTCTCGGTTCCTAAGACCATCGAAAATTTGTGTTTTCCGATGGTCTTAGGCGACCCCTGTGAAAGGGTCGTTCGACCCCCAAAGGGGTCGCGACCCACAGGTTGAGAACCGCTGGTCTAACATATCTAGCTTATTAGGCATTACCATCACAATGCGGTGGCTCAAGTGGTTAAGATGCTGAACTGCAGGCTGTGGAAGGTTGGTAGTTCAGCAGTTCGAGACCCAAGTGTGCCGCAGGACGGAGTGGGCTCCCGTCTCTAGTTCCAGCTCCTGCCAACCTAGCAGTTCGAAAGCAAGAAATTGCAAGTAGATAAATAGGGACCACTTCGGTGGGAAGGTAACAGCGTTCCGTGCGCCTCGGTGTTTAGTCATGCCGGCCACATGACCACGGAAACGTCTTCGGACAGCGCTGGCTCTTCGGCTTTGAAACGGAGATGAGCACCGCAACCCTAGAGTCGGATTCGACTGGCTTTCGAGCAAGGGAACCTTTACTATCACAAAACTGGATTTCTAGAAATAGCATAACACAGGAAAGTGATACATCAGTAGGGTTGCCAGGAAACCCCTGGCCACTTGTGCGAGATGGGGGAGGTAGGGTTGCTAGATCCAAGTTGGGACTCCTGGAGATTTGGGGATGGAGTCTGGGGAGGACAGGGGCCTCGGTGGGGTACGGTGAGTCCACCCTCCAAAGCATCCATTTTCTCCAGGAAAACTGATCTCTGTAATCTGGAGATGAGCTGTAATTCCAGGGGATCCCCAGGTCCCATTTGGATTTGCTAATGTGTTTTATAATGCTACTAGAAATAATGCCCGTTGCGGAAATAAATACAACGGGATCTAGGAAGAGGCTCTGGGAGAGTGCTTTGGCTTTGGGCAAACAGTGTCAGTTTCCTGTGGCGACCTCAGCAGGGTTTAATGACAGAGTCCACTGTTTTCTCCAGAGGGACTGATCTCTGCTACCTGAAGAGCATTTGTATGTTTGAGTTATCTGTAGCCCTCACCTGGAGAGTGGTAACCATTGTTACCCATTCTCCTCTCCCCTATGAGGTATGTTATGCAACTGAAAATCCCAACTGCCTTGTGGGGGGGGGAGTTTGAGGTGTGGAATGGACTGAAGTCCAATCAGCTTCCATATGCAAAAGACCAGGTTGTCGCAGCAGTTGTGGTGTGGGCGGGACCCGGGCTTTGCCTTCTGATTGGTGGTGATATATGCTGAGGAGCAGTGCCATCAGCCATACACTAAGGGAGTGCATTTTAGAATTAGAACTTTGGCACCCACTATTCAATTATATATAAGGAGAGATATTCTAAAACAGGTAATATATTCATTACATGCAATATCAACAATAATAATCAGTTTGTACAATCTAATAACTACCAGTCAATTTACAGGATTATTATAACTTGATTATTATTGTTGATATTGCATGTAATGAATATATACCTGTTTTAGAATATTATGAATAATACACAATGCACTTTATAAGATGGAACATATAGAACACTTTAACTTATAAAAAAGGTTTTTGCAGTGTATATATTTGTTGTTCGACCCATTTGGATGCTGGCATCTCTAATCACAGAGCACAATTCAACTCAATCTTAAAAACAGTCAATTGTTCATAGTTTTCCAGATGGTTGCAGTAGAAACGGGAACCACCTTTTCTAAAAAATATCTCTTCATTGGCCAACATAACTTCAGCATTTTTTGCTTGGTGTTTGAAATCCCCAACTGATCTGACCAACAATCCCATCCTCCTTTGCAAATCCAGTGGCCTGAATTGTTTATACGTTGAACGCTCTAACAAATGAGTGGTTGAAGGGCAGGAAATTGGGAAGGGGCTATAGCTCCGTGGTAGAGCATCTGCTTGGCATGCAGAAGGTCCCAGGTTCAATCTCTGGCACCTCTGGTTAAAGAGGACCAGGCAGTAGGGGATGTGAAAGATGTCTGCCGGGAGAGTGGCGACCAATCAGAACAGGCACTACTGACCTTGATGGACCACGGGCCTGGTGGTGCATCATAAGTCTGCTTCATGTGCATTTATACCCTTTAAAGAAAAGCATCCCATTGTTGTGAAGGGCCCAATCACATGGCGGTCCTCTCCATCTCCCTAGAAGCCTACGTCCCAGTGCCTTACCACGTGCCAACCTGGGCAGATCCGCCGGATGAAAGGTTTTCACCTGTGCTGTTACGACTGCATTGACTGCGAGAAGGGGACATTCTGCAGCAGTAGAGGTAAGCACGTTCAGGGCCTTAAAACAGCCGCCCTGCATCAGAAATGCATTGATCGGGCACCTTCCAAAGCCCAGAGTCTGGCAGAGGTAACTAATCCCAATTTAGGGTTGCCAGTCTCCAGGGGTAGCTGGAGATGTCCCGGAATTACAACCGATCACCAGACGACTGAGATCAGTTCCCCTGGAGGAAACGGCTGTTCCAGGTGGTGGACTCTATGGCATACCTAGGGTTGCCAGCCTCCAGGTGGGGCCTGGGGATCGCCCGCTTTTACAACTGATCTCCAGCTGACAGAGATCAGCTCCCCTGGAGAAAATGGCTGCTTTGAAGGGTGGACTCTATGGCATGGTACACCATGCTGAGGCCCCTCCCCAAACCCTGCCCTCTCCTGGCTCCGCCCCCAAGGTCTCTAGGTGTTTTCCAACCCAGACTGGGCAACCCTAGGCAATGCATACCCTCCCCAGGTTCCACCTCTCCCCTCCCCAAATTCCACCCTCCCCAGGTTCCACCCCCCAAATCTCTAGGAATTTCCCAACCCAGAGTTGGAAAGCCCAGCCCAACCGAGCACCATTTTCTTGTCTCTTGGCTCCAAATCAGTGGGTGGTGCCAATGTCGTTGGCTCTTGCTCATTTCCTTGAGCTGAGGTGTCAAACTCATTTGTTACGAGGGCCGGATCTGACATAAGTGTCACTTTGTCAGACCCGGCCATGTGTGCCATAAAACGTCATGCCAAGTACCGGAGATGTAAACTGTACAAAGGACAGCAGCTAGTAAGCTCCGAGTTGGTGCATCCTCACTGCAAGGCCCCATGGGCTGAGGGGGGGGTGTGCAAAGGAAAACCCACATGGGTGGACCGGAGACCTGGCGGTGCAGCACTGGGCAGACGCTCCCACGTTGCTCGACTGCTGCAGACGAGGTTGTTCCGCCATGCTGAAGCCATCATCGGAGAGGCTCCGCCTACTCCCCTCCCAAGCAGTCTCCTGTTCCCTCCCTTGCACTAGTTGCTTGCGGGTTGCATAAGAGCCCTGGACGGGCCGGTTCCCGGCCCCAGGTCTTATGTCTCACACCCCTGTCCTAGAGTTCCCATTTGCCCACTTGTGGCGGGAGACCTCCAGCCAACTGTAGCCCTCACTGGCCGCTGCTCAGCTGATTGGCGGGTGGAAACGGGGGTCCAGGCGGGGAGGGGGGCAATCATCCTGGGGAGAAAAGCTTTTAAAAAAAGAAAAATAAGGCCTCAGTTACTTACAGGACGTTCTAACCATAGAGTTCCCGGTGATTCCTAGAGTGATCTGGAAGTGACAAAGATAGCTCTAGTCAGGGGTCATTTCGTAGAAAAAGAGGCGCAGGAGCTCATTAGCATAACTCATTAGCATAGCTCATTAGCATAACTCATTAGCATAACTTATTTGCATATACCACACCCCCTGACATCACCGGAAATGTGTCAGAAGGCAACACCCACTGCTCAGGCTCCACTGGACTGTTTTAGATCCCTAGCTATGGGGGGGGGGGACACACAGATCCTCATGCTCCTTGTCGCCTGGGGCTTGTTGCATGTGCCGCCCCCTGGGCTCTTTACTGCCGGAGCTCTGCTCCTGTGCGCTCCTGCAGGAAATGACCCCTGGCTCTAGTAGTGGTCCCCCACAATGCTCCCGCCAGAGTCAGGCACTGCTTGGAAGCCCTAGGGCTCCCTGGTTAAAAATGAGCTGTCGACCAGGCTGCAGAATAATCTGTTTGCAGACAAGTGCCCAGTTGAGGCAGGTGTTTCTTGCTGTTCTTCCACAGAGGACTCGGCCTGCACTCCCTGCCCTGAGCACCAGTGGTCTCCCAAGCGCAGCACGCGGTGTTATGACCGCAGTGAGAAGTACCTCTTCTGGTTAGAACCCCTGTCCTTGATCTTGCTGGGCCTGTTGTTCTTAGCTTTGGCTCTCACCTGCCTGACGGGGGCGCTGTTCCTGAAGAACCTCCATACCCCCGTGGTGCAAGCCGCCGGGGGCGCCATGAGCCTCTTGGCCCTCTCCTCCCTTGCCATGATGTGCGTCAGCACCAGCCTTCACATCGGGAAGCCCAGCCCCACCATCTGCAAGCTCAGCCAGCCTTTCTTCGCCCTCTGCCTCAATGTCTGCTTCTCCACCATATTGGTGAAAGCATTCCAGATTGTCCTGGTGCATGACTTCGCCAACAGCCGGCGCACCTTCCTGCACACCCTCATCCAGAAGCAGCCCTGGTCCATCGTGGCCTCCTGCCTCCTAGCGGAAAGTCTCTTCTGCTATTGGTTTGTCTACGACGTCCCACCGGTCGTGGTCCGCAACTACGCTCTTTTGCCGACCCAAGTTCTCATCCAGTGCAAGATTGAATCTTGGCCCGCCTTTGCCCTGATCCATGGGTACAATGGCATCCTGGCGTTTACCTCTTTCCTCTGCACCTTCATGGTGCAGATGCCAGCCAAGAAGTACAACGTTGCACGGGGCATCACCTTCACCATGATTGCATACTTCATCGCCTTGGTCTTCTTCATCCCCACCTACACCTCCGTGAAGCAAGAGTACCAGCCTGCCGTGCAAATGGCCGCCATTTTGCTGTGCACTTTGGGACTGTTGGCGTGCCTCTACCTGCCCAAGTGCTACATCATCTGGTTCAAGCCGGACCGGAACACAACAGAGTATTTCCAAGACTACACTCAAGAGAGGCTGGAGGAGAAAGATTGTCAGGATTAGGTCCCTCCTTCCAAGCATTCCACAGTCTTCTCTGATGCAGAAAGGGAAGGAGTTTTGGCTGTCCGTGGTGTACTTCATGCCACTGCGCCTGGACAGTTTGGAATGACCTCCACAACAAGACTGTAGTTATGCCGCTTTACGTTATGCCGCTTTAAGTTACGCCGCTTTAAGTTACGCCGCTTTAAGTTACGCCGCTTTAAGTTACGCCGCTTTAAGTTATGCCGCTTTAAGTTATGCAGTTATTGATTTTAATAGAGACATTCTAGATATGCCGTGTTAAACAACACAATAAAGTCCACTTTTCACTATGCTATTCAATGGGGCTAGAGACCATATGCCTTTCACATTGCAGGAGTCTTACACGAGTGAATGTTACTTATTGCAAAAAAAAAAGCAAAAGAGTCACCGCACCTAGAAAACTAGAACTTCAAGGAGAAGGCTCTCCACCTAACCTTTCCCCTTACATGCTAGCTTTCAATACATAGGATTTATTTTTTTCATATGGTAGAGCAATGGGTCAAGCAAGCCCCACCCGCAATTTGAAGCCGTACAGCCTGGACACAGATCTATCACTTCATTAAGCACTTACATCTTGCCAGTTTTAAGCAGGAATCAGATAGATTCATGGAGGAGAAGTCTATGAATGGCTCCTAGCCATGAGGGAAACCTCCACACTAAGCCTCTGAATCCTAGAGCCAGGAGGCAACATCAGGGGAAGGCTTCAGCCTCTATGCCCTGTTGTTGACCCTCCAGAGGAACTGTTTGGCGACTCTGTGAGACAAGATGCTGGACTAGATGGACTATGGGTCTGATCCATCAGGTCTCTTCTTATGTTCTTACTGTGACTAATGGGGCTCTCCAGGGTCTTAGTCATATTTCTGTGAGTCCTTTCCCCTGAGACCTCAGGGCACTGAGGTACATTATTCCCTCTTCACAATCACCCTGTGAGGTAGGTGAGGCTGAGACAATGACTGGCCCAAAGTGAAATTCATAGCACAGTGGGGACTAAACCTACCCAGCCGAGCGTGCTGAATGGTGGAAGGGTTGGGGGCGGGGACATGGGGGATGTGACATACACCAATCACGTAGCTATGTCACTTCTGAGGGGACTTCAGAAACTCTGTGGTAAAACTAGCACTAGTAATACCATAGAGTTTCTGGTGATTCCGCGAGCTACCCTATGTCACTTCCGGGTTTCCCTCAAAAGTAACTGTATAGAAATTTTGCTTTCTGCTTTCTATAATCCTGCCTTCTCCTGTGATTACATTCTGATAACATGCTGTGCCCTGTTTCCTCTTGCCAGCCACACGGTAAGGCCAAAAGGCCTAAATAGCCATGCCACAAACCCACATTCTTTCACACTTCCATGCCAAACGCCAGACCTCATGGCTACACTTTCTGGCCCCACATGCGACAAGTCACGTACTAAATGGAGTAGCTAGAAGCCGGGTCACCTGACTGCAGGAGGAGTCTCCATACTTCTAGCCATTCATATGTTGCAGCTATGGCAACCAACTATTGGACACACCTATGTCCACTCGTGATTGGCTGCACGGCCACAGCTGATCATGACTGGAATTGGACTATAATTGTTTGATCCGAATGAGAGAGCTGCTGTGTGCTTGCTCTCTGCTCCTGCTGTCTCTACTTGTTTTATTGCACCTGAAATGCAGCCCTTGAGGGACAAAGGACTGGCCTGGGTGGGCAAATCCTGTACAGTAACGTAGTGATGTTATCAACTTTCTGGGGTTTTTTAGATTTATTTTTCTTCTCCTGTCCCTCTGAGCCCTAGTGGGGACTTGAATTTGGGCCTCCCAAGTCCTAGTCCAGTTCTCTAACCACTATACCACACTAGCTCTCCTGACATCTTTCATTATGAACTTTTAACTGGGAATGCCAAAGACTGAACTTGGCCATCCAGATGCATCTCCCCTGAGTGATGGCCTCACTCCAGAAGTTCCCTTATATTGTTGTTCACCTTGTTTTTGTCATTAGCACCCCTCACCATTCAACCGTTTTTCAAATCTTCAAGGCAGCCCACATCATAAAACATGATACCAATATCAGCAATTCAGTAAACACACAGCAACATCAGCAGCATTCAAAGCTGAGAATGATGGTTGTCAACCTCCAGGTGACACCTGGAGATCTCAGCATTCTTCAAGGGCATCCCCATGTAGACCATGAAGCAGTAGTCTAATCTGTATAGAAGGAGATGACCAAGATCAATTCACCTGGAGAAAATGGCTCTTTTGGGGGTGGACTCTATGGCAATGTACCCCGCTGAGGTCCCTCCCCTCCTCAAGCTCCACCCCCCAAATCTCTAGGTATTTCCCAAGTAACAGATTGAAACTCTAAGAGAAGAAGAAGAAGAAGCCAAACAAATGGTGACCATATAGAAGAAGAAGAGTTGGTTTTTATACCCCACTTTTCACTACCCAAAAGAGTCTCAGACAGGCTTACGATTACCTTCTTCTCCCCACAACAGACACCCTGCGAGGTGGGTGGGGCTGATAGAACTTGTGACTGGCCCAAGGTCACCCAGCTGGCTTCATGTGGAGGAGTGGGGAATCAAACCCAGTTCTCCAGATTAGAGTCCACCGCTGTTAACCACTACACCAAACTGGCTCACCAAACTAAGCTTGTTATTTCAGTTTGGTCCTTGCATCTGTCAAAAAACTTTAATATGCTGTACACTAATTTGCTCACCCTCTGCCTATCTGTATGGACTGGCAACTTCCATTTCAATGTATCTGAAGAAGTGTGTGTGCACGCAAAAGCTCGTACCTTGAATAAAACTTTGTTGGTCTTAAAGGTGCCACTGGTCTCGAACTTTGTTCTGCTTTGTTGTTGTTGTTGTTCAGTCGCACAGTCGAGTCCAACTGTTCGGGACCTCATGGCCCTCCTGTCTCCTTGCCTTCCTCCAGAGTTTGCTCAATTTCACGTTTGTTGCGTCGATGACACTGTCTAACCATCTCATCCTTTGCCGTCCCCGTCTTCTTTGACCTTCAGTCTTTCCCAGCATCAGGGTCTTCTCCAGGGAGTGCTCCCTTCTCATTTGGTGGCCAAAGTATTTGAACTTCAGTTTCATTATCTGGCCTTCCAGGGAACAGTCAGGGTTGATTTCCTTTAGGACTGACTGATTTGATCTCCTTGCAGTCCAAGGGACTCTCAAGAGTTTTCTCCAGCACCATAATTTGAAAGCATCTATTTTTCTGTGCTTGGCCTTCCTTACGGTCCAACTCTCACTGCCATGATACATACAACATGGCTACCCACCTGAATCTCTCTAACCCGGCATACCACGCTAGCTCTTCCCAAGAACTACCACAGTTGGCCGACAAACCGAACCTGATAAAATAAAATAAAACACTGAGTCAAACTGTTGGGTTGCCTAACCCAAAACTATCAACACTGATGGGTAGCTGTTTTCCAGGGTCTCAGCAGAGGCTTTTCCCAGCACGAGCACCTGAGGTCCTTTAACTGGAGATGCCACAGGTTTAAATTGGGATCTTCCGAATATGTTGTTTCATGACGGAGCAAAAACCCCTCTCAGGAAGGCATTTATGTGGAGGTTTTGATATCACAGCAAGGAGGAGGAGGAGGAGATTGGATTTATACCCCACCCTTCACTCAGAGTCTCAGAGCTGCTTACAAACTCATTTTCCTTCCCTTTCCCACAACAGACACCCTGTGAAGTAGCTGGGGTCGAGAGAGCTCTTTTAAGAGCTGCCCAATACACCAAATTTAGATTAACCAACTACAGAATCACGTAACCGACAGCTCTAGCCATCATGTGTCTTCCCCTACCTCCTTATTGCGTTTTTTCTCTCAAAAAAGGCTCTGAAACAAAATGGCGGACCAAGAGCCAAGATGGAGGTCTTGCTTATGTCATGGTATGACACCCTCAGTTTAGCACCGTCATTATCCTTTGGAGGAAGGAAGGGTAACACAAAATATCGGCAGAAGAAATACAAACAGCAGGTTTTTCAAAATTTATTGGGTGTGGAGAAGCGAAATCTCTATATTCTCCTCATCCCGCTGTCCACAGAGTGAGGCTGAAACCAGATATATATTTATAGAGTTCATGGGTGTGATACATGAGGGGTATTTTTCCACAGAGATTTGAATGCCCACTGGTTTTCCAATTTGCATCAATCCTCTTTGCAAAGAAGATGAAAACCTCGAGAGAGGAGGGATGCAAATGAATCTGCAGCTCCGAACGCAAATGATATTTATTTGCGCATTAAAATTGGAATGCTCCTAGTGCCGCAGTGAACATGCAAAGGACCTACGAGAAGGATCGGAGAGCGTTTCAGAGTAGCCTTCCCCGCCATGTGTCAGGATCAAAATGGGGACATTCTTGTAGCCTTTTCCGCACCGATGACATACCGTTCAGTATTTCACAGATGAACAATGGGAACATACTTCTGCACTACTTGTGCAGTTTGGTGTACTGGTTAAGTGCGTGGACTCTAATCTGGGAGAACCGGGTTTGATTCCCCACTCCTCCACATGCACCTGGCTGGATGACCTTGGGCAAGCCATCGTTCTGATAAGAGCTGTTCTTGAAAAAGAGCAGTTTCTGTCAAGAGCTCTCTCAGCCCCACCTACCTCATAGGGTGTCTGTTGTGGGGAGGGGAAGGGAGAGGAGTTTGTAAGCCGCTCTGAGACTCCTTTGGGTAGTGAAGGGCGGGGTATAAATCCAATCTCTTCTCTTCTTCTTCTTGTTTATACCAAGGAGTGCCAGTAGGGTTACCAACCTCCAGGTGGTGGCTGGAGACCTCCTGGATTACAACTGATCTGCAGGAAACAGAGATCAGTTCCCCTGGAGAAAATGGCTGCTCTGGAAGATGGAGTCTATGACATTATCCCCCGCCGAAGTCTCACCCCTCCCCAAACCCCATCCTTCTCAGGCTCCACCCCCATCATCTCCAGGAATTTCCCAACCTGGAGCTGGCAACCCCAAGTACCACTCTTAGTCCCCCTCTTTCCCATTA